AACTTAAACAACTAAAAAGGAAATCATTTGGTGACCATAAAGACAGTAATTTAGTTTCCATGCCAATCTCAGGCAGTATCAAGAGAGCCTTTAGCATCTTTTAGATGGAATTCGGCTATCTTAAGAATGGACCATGAGAAGAATTGCTCCAGGCAAAATAACAATTTCTTGTCCGTTAATATTTCACACCATGTCAACTAATTTGTAGTACCAGGAGGTAGGTCCTTGTGCAAATACTTTTGTGGCAGCCCCAGCTTTTCTAGGAACCTTAACCATTACAGACTTGAATGTCCCCCACACTTAAATTGTAGTAGAATCAATGAACATTTTCTTCCCCAAAATAGGCAATTTCCTTACCTCCGACCAGTTCAGTAGCTGGGTAAGACTAGCCACGGAAGTGAACATATATAGCACATGTAGACACGCTAAGGAGTTGGGTGTGGTGGTGAATGCCTGCACTCCCAGCACTTGGGAGGCTGAAGTAGAAGGATCACTGCGCATTCAAGGCCAACCCGAATTGCATAGCTAGACCCTGTCTTTAAAAACAACAACAATAAAAAGCACCAGCCTGCACTGAGCTGGCCAGAGTCTGGGCTTGCTGGCAAGCACCTGTAATCCCAGCACTGGGGAGGCTAAAAACAGGAGGATATGTATGAGTCTGACCTACATAGTGAGACCCTCTACCAAACACATTAAAAAAGGGGGAAAAATGCTAAAGAGACAGAAAACTTCTCAAAGTTATACAGTAAATACACAGGGATAATGCTGGGAGTAGAACAAGACTAGAAAATCACGGTAGCTATAGACAAACTCAGGGCAGGATAGTCAAGCACCTTGTATTACCTACCAGACAGGAAGTGCTCAGGTGTTTAGGGAATGAATTGATTAATAATAATGAAAAATAATGACAAAGCCCATGACCGTGTCACCCTTGTTAACTAGAGCAGCAGAGAGGGTAAAAGAGGTAGCTTACCCACACCCAAACCCCCATCTGGCATGCTAGCAGGTGAAAAGCTTCTGTTAATCAGGCAATTACTTAAAAAAAAAAAAAAAAAAAAAAAAAAAAAAA